CAAAAAAAAAAAAGGCATAATTCATTTTGTTTTCTAATCTATAAATTTTTAACATTTATGTTCTGTTCAGGGTTGTAACAAGTATGTTATGCTCACTGTGGGATTGTATTGTCCACGGTGTTGCCTGTTTCCTTTATTCTTTCCTCACTGAGATGTGTCTTAATGACTTCTGTTCTGTTCAGTTCAATTTCCCAGCTCAGTTGACTCTTCAGTATGTGGGGTCAGATTGCTTTTTGTTTTTTGGAATGTTTCTTGAATTATATTTTTTGGTTTTGGTTTTTATTTTTTGCAGTACTGGGAATTGAACCTAGGGCCTTTGCACTACATCCACAGCCTCTCTCTCTCTCTCTCTCTCTCTCTCTCTCTCGTTCTCTCTCTCTCTCGATAGATCATTTTTCAGTTGGAGACAAGACAAGGTCTCTCTGAGTTGCACAGGCTGGGCTCAAACTTAGGACTCTTCTGCTTCAGCCTCCCATGGTGTTGGGATTCTAATTGTGCACCACCACCCCCAGCTCAGATTACAGTTTTAAACACTGGTCTATTAGTTGGGCTCATAGATTTGCTTTTCTCCTTCAGCCCTGTGATGCTGGATTTTCTTTGCTCGCTTGTATTGTTTTTCACTGTTTCTTTTAACCTCTTTCAGTATTTTTTTTCTTGCTCCTGTTTGCTTCATTTCCTCCCTCAGTGGCTTTTGATGAGCTTTCAGCCTGGTTAATTCCCTTTGGTCACTTTGTAATTTAGTCCTTGTTTCTGAGATGACTTTGACCAGGACCCCACCATCCCCTCTACTCCTCACCAAGCCCCACCATCCTCTACAGGGTGCTGTCTGAGCTGCTCTGCAGCCTGGGCCATTTATTTCCCCTGAGGTGCACAGTGATGTTTGTCAGTCTTTTCTCCTTATGCCATGACCATGGCATGGGGGATTCTCATGTATTCAGCCACTCTCCCCCTGTGGAGACACAGGCTGCACATAAACTCCACATGTGTCCTTGTGAAGTCGTCTTGTGTGGGGCTTCAGCACTTTGGCCTGCTGCGTTCACCAGGAGTCACATTCTCTTGTTTGCCATCACAGTGAACCCGCCCCACTTGAAATCATTAGCAGATTTCATAAGTTTCCTATTGAGTTGTTGATTAAAATGCTGGGCCAGGGATTTAGCTCAGTGGTTCTGGCATCTGCTTCATAAGTGCAAGGACCCAAGTTCGATCCCTGGTACCAAAAAACAAAACAAAATAAAATGCTGGGGACAAGCCCCAGCCCTGCACACTAACAGACCTAGGTACATTAGCTTATTGGTCCAGTCTTCAGAAATAAGTGAAGCTTATGATTTGGAAGTGTTCACCAAGAGATTTAGGGGATTCTGTAGCAGAAATGCAGGAAGGGGGATTCTGGAGAATGTGTTCGTGCAGGAAACTGCATCCTTGCTGGGCCATGGTGAAAACACAAAGTTAGGACACTCTCTGGTCTCAGGTACTCTGAGCAGATGCCTTGATGGTGAGTCAGGTTTTAACAGGGCTGCCTTCTTCCACTCTGGGCTAGAGAAGCCCTAAGAAAGGGGGATGCACTTTAAAAGCTTTCTGAGTTGGATGCGGTCATGCATGTCTGTAATCTCATAACTCTGGGAGGCTGAGGCAGGAGGATTGGAAGTTTGAACCCAGCCTGAGCAGCTTGATGAGACCCTATCTCAAGATAAAGAATAAAAAGTGCTTGGAACATATCTCAGTGCAAAGGCTCTGGGTTTGATCCCTAGCACCACAAAGTAAAATCACATCACATCGCTCTGGGTCATCTCTCGCCTTTCCAGAAAGCCCCTGACCATCTGTAGCCTGTGTCCTCAACGCCGCTTTGCATCTCACATAAGATCCGCTGTCCTGGGGCTCCCCTTCCACACTGGAGTCATTTGCAGCCTCAGAGATTTTCTTCCTGAGCTCTCAGATTGTCCAGCTCCTCCTGCCCTTCTCTCCTGAGTAACCTGAAATCCCTTCTCATAAAGCTGTTGCTGCAGCTTCTCACTGGCCTCCTCTGGTCCTTTCTAGTGCGCGCACGTACAGTGCTGCCTCGGCTCCGGGCGCTCCTCACACTAGCACTGTGTGCTCTGTCTCTGAGCCTCCAGCAGCCTGTGCAGGGCCCAGTGAGGAGAGGAGGGGCTGGGAAGGCTGGCTCTGAGGACACTCACCTCACACCAGGTCCCAAGTGAGCTCCTCTGAAATGACATCGACATGAACCCCCCACCCAATAGAAAAGTGGGCCGTGGGTGGGGCAGAGGGTGATAGGGTGGTGGGATTGAGCAGGTGGTCATGGGCTGCCTTCTGACCCGCATGGCCCCTGGCAGGTGGTGTACGAAGAGAGCCGCATGGTCAGCCTGACGGCCCCCTATGTATCCGGCTTCCTGGCATTCCGAGAGGTGCCATTCCTGGTAGACGCAGTGAGGCGTCTGCAAGAGAAGGAGCCGAGCCTCGTGCCTCAGGCAGGTGCCATGTCTCTGGGCAAGAGAGTGCCCCTAGTTCCACCTGGGGGAGGGGAGGGACGTGCAGGCCACCGCCAGCCATAGTCTGAGAGAGCTGGGATTTGCTAAAAAGCTGCACCCCAGGGCCAGTCCTTCCCACCCCACTTGCTGTGACAGCCACCTTAGCTGACCATGACCCCTGTGGCTCTAGGTCCTTCTTGTGGACGGAAACGGGGTGCTCCATCACCAAGGTAATCCTGCTCCCCCGAGAGAGGGCTGGGGAGGGCGCTGTGGGAAAGGCGGGAGGGCTCCTCCCACGTCCACCACACCGAGCTCCTTCACTGCTCCCCTCTGGGCTGGCTTCGCTGTCGGGGTGTGCCACGTCCCTCACCCAGAAAAGCGCTCTGCCTTCTCTTCACCCCCACAGTTTCCTGCCCCTTCCGCTCCCCCAAGACACGGGACTGGCCCGTCTAGAGGTGCACTGTCCAGTGTCGACCTCACATCTGTGAGAAGTCACAGGGCCTCCACTTAGAGTAGCCCCCCACACTGCCTACCCTGTGCCCTTCAGCCAGACCTTTGTCCAAAGCTGGGTAGGAGCCCAGTGCAGGGCCTCTACCCAGGGAGGATGCCGTTTTACTCTCATCTGAACGGGGGCAGCCCCAGAGGGGTGTCTGAGGGAAGCACATGTGGGTGGGTCCCAGCTACTGCCTCAAAGGTTGTGGCCCTAGAGCAGCAGTGAAGTCGGTAGGCAGGACCTTACCCAGGGTCAGCCTGGGCCTCCGGGTCTGCTTCCCCAGCATTGTGCCAGTCTGCAGCTGGCAGGGTTCCAGTGTTCTCTGTTCCCTGGCAGGCTTCGGGGTGGCCTGCCACCTTGGCGTCCTCACAGAGCTGCCCTGCATTGGGGTGGCCAAGAAACTCCTACAGGTGGACGGACTGGAGAACAATGCTGTGCACAAGGAGAAGGTGAGAGGGCCTGGGGAGCATCCGAGGACCACCTCCTAGAGCAGTGGTGGAGAACCTACGGCACACGTGCTCCAGCCAGCTCTACGGGGTTCGCCATCACTGTCCTAGGGCATCTGCCCAACCTGCCCGCTGACAACTCCCCATATCCTGGATCCTGGCCTGGAGCGGAGAGACCAGCTTCTCTCTCAGAGCCTCCTGTCCACATGGCCCTGAGCACTACGTCCCGGCATCTGTGCAGACCTTACCACCCTTGCCTTGCCTTTGCATCTGCAGTGAATGTGTAGGCTTGGGTTAGTGCTCCAGGCTCCAGGCCCTGCCCGCAGTGCCTTCTGCCCTCCGGAGGCCCACTCTAGCCAAGACCTGCCTGGAGCTGGCATCCACACCTTTCCTCACCTTCTCCTTCCTTGGAACCTGGGATTGGCACGGGGGGGGGTTGACACCCCTATCCGGAGGGAGCTGGTGACGTCCCCGCTCTCCTGTAGGACAGCACATTCCAACAGCAGAGACTGTCTGTGGGGAAGTTGCGCAATACATGTTTGTTGAGTTGATGGGGTCGCCGGGTGCTGGTTCAGCCCTGACCCACTTGGCCTTCCCAAAAGGAAGTTTATTGACTTGACTCTGAAGTGCCCAGATTGCTAGCAAGTGGGGGTCTGTGCACTGGTCAAGGTGTGTGTCCAGGGGCGGCACCTGTTGGTCCCCGGCCAGTGCTGTGGACGTGGGACGGCTGCTGCATCTCCTCTGCGCCTTTGTCTCGTCAGTGGGGTCCTGCATGTAGGCAGTGCCCTCATCACAAACCCTGAGCGTGCTGCTGCCTGGGGCACTCAGTGCTGCCTCGGGCGTGGCCTTCCTGGCACAGCTCCCACCGGAGTCTGGCTGGTGACTAGGTAAATGCAGAGCATGCCTTCAGCCCTCAAGGAAAGACTTCTGGTTTTTGTTTTTGTTTTTTATGCAGCACTAGGAATTAAATCCAGGGCATTGCTCATCCTGGGCAAGCATCCATCCCTGAGCTACGCCCCAGCCCTAGAAGACATTTCTTACAAGTTTCTTTCCCCCATTTTCCAGATTCGGCTCCTGCGGTCTGGGGGAGATTCGTTTCCTCTGACAGGCGGCTCTGGGGTTGTCCTGGGAATGGTGAGTGGCCAGAGGCCTCTATGCCTCCCTGGCTTCAGGTCGCAGAGGGAGAACAGCTAGGCAGTGGACTCCTGCACACACACTTGCACACTCACCTGTCCACGTCTTCCTGCCTCTCAGCAGACACGGCGCTGACGTGACGTGTGTTTGTTTCCTCCTCTGACCTCCCCTCCCTGAGGAGAATTCAGCCACACGCACCCCACACTGCACAGGACAGGCAGCAGGGAGGCACCTGGGGGCTGGAGTCTGAAAGAACCCTGCACACCCCAGCTCCCGCTTGCCTTGTGAGATGTTACCAGAGCCTCCAGCCCAAGGCAGGTCCTGCCCCCACAGGGTTGTGTCCCCACAGCACTGACCACCTTCTGTCCACAGGCCCTGAAGAGCCATGACCACAGCACCAAGCCCCTGTACGTCTCTGTGGGCCACAAGATGAGCCTGGAGGCAGCCGTGCGCCTGACCCATTGCTGTTGCAGGTTCCGGATCCCAGAGCCTGTGCGCCAGGTGGTGGGGGCCACCTGTGGTGGGTGGCACATTGGGGACTGGCCCAGGCTCCCCTGTACTCCTTGCCCCTGAACTTCACCTGCTGCCTGTCAGCCTCAGTGGGATCCTGGAGTAGTGAGTAATGAGAGGTTAGGATGGTCCTGGGCTGAGGACCGGCCTGGGCTCCTTGCTGGAGAGCCAGTTAGCCTCCTGGGTCCCTGGAGGCAGGAGAGGGAGCAGAGGCTGCACGGTTCTCCCTGAAACTGCCTGGACTACCCTCTGTCTCGCTGAGCCTGCTACACCCGGTACCAGCTTTTGTGGAGAAGCAGTTGATGTCCCTGTTCAGCTCACCTGCCCAGAGGGTGTGGTCATCCTCCACCAAGGGGCCCTTGCAGGAGGGTAGTGCTGGCGAAGGCCAGGATCCCCAGTGAGGACTCTGGTGTAGGGCTCAGGCCAGGGGACCGGCACTTTGATGAGCCCGTCAGCTCAGTGGAGGTTGCCGGAGGCAAGGGAGCAGGGGCTTCCCACAGGGCTCTTGGGCACTGCCCTGTCCTCTGCCCTCAGTCACATGCTGCTGTATGTCCTGGAGCAGCACGGAGGTAGGGGTCCAGGAAGAGGAGGGAAGGGCAGTCCAGACTTCGGAACAGCACCTGTGAGGCCTGCCGTAGGAAAGGGTTTGGTGTACTTGAGGCTCAGCCGGGGCAAGAGGGGTGGGTAGGAGTCAGTTTTGTGTCAAGCCTCACTGCAGACGGGCACAGATGTGCCTGTGCCACCGAAGCAGTTAGGGCTTTGGGAGTTGCTGCCTGCTTCTTCCCTGGCCCACCTTGGGCCCACAGCCACGCTCAAAGGGCCACAGGCTGGACCCTGCCAAGAAACCCACCTCCTGCCCTACCTGCAGTCCCAGGGGAAATGCCAGGCCCAGCTACCCGTGGCCATCACCACCTCATCATCCCACCTCCCCGCTACATGTATGCGGGTTGGCCTCCAGGTGGCAGCAGCAGCCCACACGCCACTGTGGCGCTCACCCCTCGCAGGGTGGCCGTGCCCAGAGCTGGCTTTGCAGCAGCCTATAGGCGTCCAGCCACAGCCCCCAGTCTCATCCTCCTGCTCAGGGTGCTGCTGGGCTCATAGGTACATGGGCTTCCAAACCTGTGAGTTGTGGCCTCAACCCCAGAAGGCCTTTTTTCATTCCCTCACCTGTAGTCTGATGAAAAAACCCCAGAGACTCCAAGGCTCAGGAGCCCTGGCTTGTGCTGTCCTAGACCTGCAGGACTCTGGCTGGCCCTCTCACCTTGCAGATGAAGGGCCAGCTGCCTGAACACCTAGAAGTGGGGCAGACTCATGTCTGTGCTGGAGGAGAGCCTGCCAACTCCTAGCCCACACTCCACAGAAACACCAGCAGGCGTGGGATGTGTGCCACCTGGAGCCTGCTCCTGCCCGCTGGGGAGCAGGGTGCAGCCCTGGCAGCTCAGCCCGATTTCGTCCTGGGCCCACTCACCTTGGCACTGACCCTCCCCGCTCCACATCTAGACGCTCCTGGAGGGTGGGAGGGATGGGGCCAGGTGTGACATCTGAGGCCTCCCTACCCTCTGCTTTGGCGCAGCCCCGGGCTTCCAAGGGACTCCTTGGTCACTGGTGCTGCTGCCCCCAGGATACGCTTCGGCCTACGCACCCACGGCCCCGTGAGCTGAAGCGGGAGCCTCGGGATTAGCTGTTGCTGTCACTGTGTCACACAGCCTGAAGCTGAGCTAAACCCGTGTGAGCTGGATCAGGGCTTCCCGAGGCCAGGCCCTCGGGGGTTGTCCCACGCAACGTGACCCCGTTCCATATCCGTCCCCGCCTATGGCCTGTGAGCCCCTTTTTCTCCGTAACTCTGCAGAACTTCAGGAGACAGACAGCAGTCGTAGCTGACACTCGAGAGAGAGACAGAAAGTGACCCGAGTGACAGCAGACTAGCCAGCTTGAGTCCTTTCCCTCAGGGCAGACCCTCCCTGAGGAAGGGGCTGTGAACACAAGGGAAGCCAAGCCGAGCCACCTCCGCCCACCAGCCTCAGTGGCAGGTCCCCAGCCCCGAGGGTCTTGGCGTCCTTGTCACCCCCACACATCCATGGGGCTGCAGAAGTTGAGGGGCCCCAAGTGGGCTTCCTGTGGAGGGTATGAAGGCGTTTCCCACTCTGGAGGCCAGCTGAGGGCCCACCACTTCTCACCGGAGCTGTCTTTCCTCCAGGCTGACATCCGCTCTCGTGAGTACATTCGCAGGACCCTGGGACACTCCGGGCCACCCTTACCAGGGCAGGAGAGGTGAGCACCGGGGAGTCCTAGCATGCCCACCAGCAGGTCTTGCGGTTCAGGACCAATCAGGCCAGGCCAGGCCAGGAGAGGTCCCCGAGCGGGAGGGAGGGTGTGGGCTTCGAACCTGCGGGAGCTGTCCAGAAACACCACCCTGTGGCCGTCTGGTCTGAGGCCTACCTCCCAGCGGGGCTGCTGCCACCCTTCCTGTCCACTTGGGCCAGGAGTGGACCCGGCACCACCTCACCCCACACAGCCTTCTCTGTCTTGCGCTCCGAGGCTCAGTGTCCTCTGTAAGACAGGCAGAGTATTTCTTTCTCTTCTGGGTTCTGAGGTGGAGTGAGACTGCCTGGCAGAGAGCCTCACACGAAGCAGGTACCATGAGCCTGCTTTACAGATGAGGAACACGAGGGCTGGAGCAGGGTGCTGAATGTGGGGTGTGCATCCCGAGCCCTGCCTCTGGATTCCTGTTCAGGGCTGGGCTTCCTCTGCTCCTTTTCCTCTGGCAGCCAGCAGCTGTTCCCAGGCCTGGGTAGGCTGCTCTGAGAACCGAGGGGAAGGCCACTGGGAACCCCCGCTTCCAGAGTTGGACTAGTCAAGGGGGACCTGTCCCGTTGGCCATTGAGTTCTGCCCAGGTCTCCAGCCCATCCGTGCCGGCAGCCCTTCCAGGAGCTCTTGGGGGACAGATGTTGGGACTGGCTCCAGAACCCCTTTGGAGGCTGCCCCCTTCTGCGTATTGTTGCAGGAGCCAGAAGGGACCATGGCCGAAGGCACACCCCAAAGGAAGCTCAGCAGAGCCAGCAGGAAAGGGCAGACACCTTGACCTCAGCAGAGGCCTGGGGACAGACCCAGAGACCACACAGCTGGGCTGCTGGGAGCAGCAGGGCAGGGCCTGGCCATCACGAGGAGCTGGTCACCGTGAAGCTTCCAACTACCACCTCCTGCTCCAGTCTCAGGACAGTAGCCGCCCAGAGGAAAGGTCTCCAGGGACTGTGGGATTTCTCACAGCTGCTGGTAGAAACTGACCAGAGCGCCCAGCAGGACTCTGCTAAGGTCAGTGGCTTCCCTGCCTTCAGCATTGGGTGATCTGTTAGTCACTGTGCCCAGAAGGACAGATGTCCCCGAGGTGAGATCTCTGTCCTCAGCACACAGAGGGGACCTGGGGTTCGGGTGTCTAGTGGGCCAGAGACTGGCAGCCTGTGCCGGAGCCCACAGTTCCTCCTGCACCATCCGCACCTTGAAATGCACACCTGCTGCCCTGGACTTTTCAGGCTTCACCTTAAGCCATGCCCACCAGCCACGGCAGCCCACCCAGGGCTGGGGGCCCAAGCACATGCCCCCGCCAGCACCACACAACCTGTGTGTCCTCACCCCGCATGCCCATCCTCTGGCCTTCGTGCCCTGGTTGTGCTCCCCCGTTCCTGCCTCCTCATGATACAAGGAACCCTGCCCCAGCCTGGTAGGCTGCTTCCTCCCTGAGTGGCTGCTGAGACTTCAGGGCACAGAGGGCTGCCTGTCCAGACCATTCCCTCAGCTGCCAGAGTGGAGCTGACAGACGGTGGATAGGTCTGGCTTCCCTGGTTAGGGTCAGGATGGAGGGGAAAGGAAAGGAGGGTGCCAGAGATGAAGGTGGCCATGTGCTGAGTGTGCCATGCTCCACTGAGCCCAAGGGACCTCACACATACACACATCTGGACGTCAAGCCTGTCCAGAGGAGACTGAGCTGCCTCACCCAAGCCCTTGGGCCCCGCTGAGGCAGAGTGCCCTGGCTCCTGCTCAGGACCTGTTTTCTCAGGGGGGAGCCCTCTGCCCTCCTCCCTGGGGTGTACCCAGGAGAGGGAGCAGCAGGTGCCCCTGTGGCGGGGTCCTGGGGCACAGCCCAGCCTATACAAACGCATACCTGCGGCCCTCTGCATCCTCACGGAAGCCCGGACTGGAGGGCTCACAGTTGGCCCTACCAGCTGCCCTCCCAACTGCTTGCAGACTTTTCCCTCAGAGCTCTGGAGGACCAGAGGTTGGCATTGGGAGTGTGGGGCTGGGGCTGAGCAGAGCTGGCTGGGATCCAGCTGTCTCTCACTGGGGCTTTGGGTGAAGCACCTGTCAGGTGGCGATAATACCTGTCCCCCTCCCTGGGGCTGGGAAGGTGACATACAAAAGGGGTTTAGCACGGAGCCTGGCACACAGTGGCCCCTTGATGAAGGGATGCCCTTAGTCTGGAAAAGTAAGACCAGAGAGACCTGGGCTGATGGCCATGCCAACTCAGATGAAAAGAAACCAGGGCAGAGTTCTCTCCCACCACCCAGCTACAGGTCAGAGCAAGCCTGGCCACACCTGTTTAGGGTTGAACAGGCAAGACCGACCAACCTGGGGTTGGGACCTGCTGTCCCTTAAGTCCCCCTGTTCCAGCAGGAGATCTGGGGGGCAGGAGGCTCAGAAGTGGTAGCCCCACACTGCCCAGCACACTGTAGACCCCAGCACAGAGGGGCAGCTTCAACTGTGAGACAGGCAGAGATGGCTGTGTCCCCCTGTGGGGACTGGGTCTTCACACGGAGGGCACAGCCAGCACCTGCAGGGGGTCCGCCCAGCCCCTCGCCCCACCTTGAGGGGCAGGCCCGAGCCTTGAGGGAGGTTCGTGGATAAACCTTTAGTTTTACTTTTGCAGTGCTGGGGATGGAACCCAGTGCCTGTGCACTCCAAGCATGAGCTCTGCCACCGAGTCACCTCCCTGCCCTGCAGACAACTTTTATGTGCGTAATTTTTGTTTGGAGATTAAATTCACCATTTTGTTCATTTTGAAGTGTGCAGTTCATGGGCTTTTTCTAGTCAGGCATTTTGGTGTGAACCTATCCTTCCAGCTGCCCAAGCTAAGATGTAAGGATCACTTGAATCCCAGAGATCAAGGCCAGCCTGGGCAACACAGTGAGAACCTGTCTAAAAACAGAAATAAACAAGAGCATCCATGGTCTGTCACCGTCTCACTGTCTATTTCCAGAACAGTCTCATCTTGCCACCCCACAGGGAAACCCCGTCAGCAGCCCTTGCTTACTTCCTGCTCTACTCAAGGGCGCTGCATGCAAATGGATTGAGCCTCACACCCTTAGCGTGTGTGTTAAGGTTTATGTTGTACCGTGTGTCAGTACGTAAGTCCCTGACGTAGGACCGTCGGAGTCTCCACCTTTCACAGGTGTATCGTAGACCACTCCCTGTCGGGGACTTGCTTTTTTGTGACTAATCCTCCGCTTCGTGAATCTGTCACAGCTCGGCTCTCTGTGCTCCAGGTGGTGGGTATTTGAGTTGCTGCTGTTTGGGGGCTGTCCTGGGTGAGTTGCCATGAGTGTCGTGGACGAGCGTTTGTGTGACCGCGCTCCAGTTCTGGTTCGTGTACAGCTAGGAGAGACCACAAAGACGTTCTCCACGGTGGCTGCACCGTGTTACAACCCTGCCAGCGTGCACAGGCTGCCGGTTTCCCCGTGTCCCGGTCAGCTTGTTACTGCCCGGCCCCCAGCATTCCGGCCGTCCTGGGGCGCAAAGCAGTGCCCCGTTGTCGGTTTGGTTCACACGTCCCCGTGACCTTTTCACGTGCTGCTGGCCAGTCCTACACCTTCTTGGGAGAAGTGTCTGTTCACGTCCTTTACCCCCACTTTTTATAATCGGGTTGCCTGCTTTTACTGCCATGTGTCCCAGATGCCCAGTGGTTGCTGGTTTTCGTGCTGGGAGTTTGTTGCCATATCTGAGTCAGTGGTGCACACTTACTTGTCTGTGGTATTTTCTTTCTGTGTTCATGGGCTCATTGGAAGTGGCCCACCTTGACTACTGCTTTGGTACCTGTAACCTCCTTTTCCTGGGTGAGGCTTGTGTGGCATGGGTTGAGTGCTCCCTCGGTGATCTGATCCGTGGGTGGTGGGAGCACAGCCCACCCCAGGGCTCAGAGGGCCCAGCTCAGACCACACTCACCATCCGGCCTTTCCTGGCTCTCCCCAGGCGGGCAGCCACCCATCAGCCAGCCTCAGGGTGAGCAGGTGCAGACCCACCTTCCAAGTCCTCCGATGGGGCCTGACTTTGGGAGATGTGGCCCAAGAGCGAGGACTGGAGGACGTGCAGGCACAGCTCCTCTCAGGAGGCTGTGCCACAGGGTTGGGGTTTAATGAGGGCAGCCCTTGAACCCCAAAGGGACTAACTAGTTTAGCGTGAGGGGTTGGGGTGGCCCACAGCACTTGAGGGGTACAAGCCTTTTGCCACAGGCCCCCAACTCCGCTGCTAATGGCCATGCTAATGCCACATCAGCGGTGAGCAACGACAGGGCATCTCCTCAGCTCTCAGAGACCCTGGCCCTTCCCTTGGTAGGAGGCAGTGATAACAGGCAGGGCCAGCTGGGCCCTTTCCCCATCTTCTAGAGGGGCTGGGCTGGCCCAAGGAAGGAGGGCACAGGGACCGGGGTCTGCACACAGAGGGGCAGGTGGAAGGCCTGGGTGCCCTGGTGACAGTGAGGTGTGAGACGTCACTGCTAAGGCAGAGGGGCCCTCTGTGGGGCCCTAAGTGCAGTGGCGTCTTAGCTCCTTCCCACAGAACCTTAAAAATAGGGCCGCGGTGAGGGCCATTTCCACAGACCACAGCTCACTGGCTCTAAGAATATTCTTGAGCCTCTTAATAATTCAAATGGGATCCAAATAGATGTTTCCCATTCACCTGCTGGCCTCTGTGCCCACCCTGCCTGCAGCTGGGAAGACTGGCCTCTGGCTCGCACCCCAGCCCCGCAGGACCCCAGCCAGTCTGCCTTCCCCACTCCCGTGGCCATCAGGAACGGGGCTGCCCCAGGTGGTGTGACCAAGGCAGCCAGGAGAGGCCCAGCCCTCAGGCTGTGCCTCTCTCAGTGGGATGGTGGGATCAGTGTCTCCAGAGTGAGCTGTGGGGTCTGGGGCAGTAGGGGTGTCTGACCAGGACCCGGACCTGGGCCTCCCTCCTCTCCCAGGCTGTGCCCAAGCAGCAGACAGCCCTCACCTATCAGCTTCTGGCTCCAGACTCTAGAGAGGAACGGGTGCTCCCTGGGAGGTAGTGGTGGGTGGGGGTCACCAGCCTGGCTCACCCTACCGGCAGCAGCCCAGCCTAGCAGTTCTGTCTGCACTGCCCTGGCCAGGTCCTGTGTGGAGTTTTACCTAATTATTAATTAAAGGCAAAGGCGAGTGGCAGTGCTGACAGCCAGATAAATAGCATGTGGGGTGATTAGGGCGGCGTCGTGGGAAGGACAGAGCACAGCCTCACCCTAGTCACTTCCCCCTGCAGGCTGACAGCTCCCACCGGGCTCCTAGTGCCTGGGTGGCCGGAGGCAGGCAGGTGGGGGCAGTGCAGGCCCTGCCAGCCATGGCCGCCCCCTCCCCTGCAGAACAGGTCCAGGTCCTTTGTCCAGGTCCTGCCCACCATGGTGTGAGAATGCTGGGAAGCTGAGGTGGGCCCAGAGAGGGGGACAGACCTGAGGTGGACAGGGAGGGGAAGAGGACAAGGTCCCAGCACGCGGGGTCGTACCCTGCCTGCTCAGGGGCGCAGGGCCTGGTAGAGCTGGGAGTGGGCAGCTTGGATGTTTTGATGTTACATCAGTTTCATGTATATGTTTTTCTAATCAAGGTCATAAATGTGCATAGTTTGGATAATCAAACAGTTCTGTGAGGCTTGCTGTGAGAAAACAGTGCCTTCTTTCCCTCCCACACCACTCCCCTGACTCCTCCTCCTCTCAGGCTAACTCTTCTGTCATTGTAGCTGATTCTTTTGATGTTTACTTCTAAATAGCATGCTAATATTGCTGCGTTTTTCCGATTTAGAAATTACCCATTGACTTCCTGCTAAGAGGATTGAAAATTTGTTCTCTAGCAGCAGCTCCCGTACAGGCCTGCGCGCGTGCACGCTCACACACACACACACACACACACACACACACACACACACACACTCTTCCAGCCATCTCGTTTCAGGGCCTCACAAGTCAGTGTATGTGGATTATTTCCTCGCATACACTAGTCACAGCTGAGTACTGGGTTGTAATTGCTTTTCTTAGGCAACCTCTTGTTTGTCCTGGACTTAGTAATTGCCTTGGCTTCGGGGCGGGGTTGGTTTATTTTCTGTGTACCCATTACTTATTTATCCCTAAAGCGTGCAGTGGAATAAAATGGGCTGTAAATCTCCCTTTGGTACATTGAAAACATCAGGCTACTGATGAGTTGGTTTTTCTTGGAGCCTGTGGTGGCGGGCGGCCCCTGCCCTGCCACGAGGTGCCAGCATTATTGTGTGCAGCCAGCGGAGGGTGGCAGCACCAGTGGTGTGTCAGTCCCACGGTTAGGACAAGGGACACGTGGCTCTAGCCTTGCTGGCGTTCTCTCTCCCTGTCTTTTTCTCAGGCACATGAGTGTCCATACGTGTGTGTGTGTGTGTGTGTGTGTGTGTGTGTGTGTGTGAGAGAGAGGGAGAGGGAGAGAGACACTGGGGATTAAATGCAGGGCCTTCATCTATCTCTAGTCTTTTTCTTTTGAGACAGGATCTCACTAAGTTGCTTGGGCTGGGTTCAAAGTCACTATCCTCCTGCCTCAGCCTCCCGGAGTGCTGGGATTACAGGTGTGCACCGCCACCTGGTTTCATCATTCATTTTGAGGGAAATCAGCTGCCACTGTTAAGAGGGCCACGTGAAGGAGAGCCAGCATCCTGCCACTGACCAGGTGAGGGTGCCATTGTAGAAGCGGCTCCTCCAGCCCCGGTCAGAAGAGATGACTGCAGCGTGAGTATTATCTCCCGCCCCACCCTCATCCCCTGGTACTGGGGATTGGACAGAGCACATGCTGAGCTACATCCCCAGCCCTTTTCGTTTTATTTTGAGACAGGATCTGGCCAAATTGGCCTTCAACTTGAAATCCTCCTGCCTCACCTTCCAAGTAGCTGGGATTAGGGGCTGGGGATTTAGCTCAGTGATGCCATGCCTGCCTTGTGAACAAAAGGTCCTGAGTTCAATCCCCATTACCAGAAAAAGTAAAACAAAAAAAGTAGCTGGGATTACAGGCCTGCACCACCATGCCCAACATGGTTGTCATCTTGACTGCAACCTCCTGATACCCTGCCCCAGAGCCCCTGACTAGTCTGGTTCCAATTTTGTGACCCTTAGGAACTGTGTGAGAATAAATCTGTGTCCCAGGGTAATTCGTTACACAGTGGAAGCTAAGTGCATAAAGCCCTTCTTCCTCCTGTACCTGCCTGCCCTGGCTGACTCTCCCTCTGGGGCTGCCCTTCCTCCTCTCCTGCATTGAGTGCTTTCCTTCCTGCATCCTGTGCAGTCCGTTTTGAATGTTCTCCATTTTAACACAGTGTAAGAAGCGAACATGAAAAGACCAGGCCCCCTGGTGCCGCAGCAGTGGTCTTCAGCAGGAAGACCTGGGAATGGCACAGGGACACCGTGGCCCCAGGTGTCTGTCAACAGCTTCATTGTCAGTCCCACTGCTACTTGTCACCTTGTGTGGAGCCCTGCTGCCAGGAGGATCTGCCATTTCCTCCTCTGGGCCCACAGTGCCGTGTGGGGCCGAGGCGGCCTGTGTTAGCTTTCTTACTGTAACAACACATCTGACAGAATCATCTTAACGAGGACGGGCTGGCTTCAGTTCACCTTCAGAAGCTCCAGTCCATAGCTGCCTGGCCCTACTGCTTCTGTCCTGTGGTGAGGAGCCAGGCTGCTCACTTCATGGCCATCAGGAAGCAAAAGAGGGCAACAGTCCAGGGTCCCACGGTGTCCTTTGAGGGCACAGCCCAGCAACCTAAGCTTCCCCCAGAGGCCACCAGCACATGGCTCTGTGTAGACCATGTCCACGGACTGGCACCACTACTGCCCTCAGTGCCTAAGCCAAGGGTGGCCCTGGGGACCTCTCCTCCAATTCATTGCTCATCTGTTTCCATCCTGCCAGAGGCAGTGGCCCCCTGAGGACAGAGTCATCTGCTGCAGGCCAGGGATGGCCTCTATCCCTGGTTCTCACAGGCTCTCCGACAGAGTAATAGCATTCAGGTATGTGATCCAGGTCACGTGGCAGAACCCACCAGAAGCAAAAGGGGTCCGGGTGGTTCACTGCAGGGTGGGGTGGCCCTCTGGTCTGGCTGCTCTAAGTGGGTGGTCCTCAGGTCCTCCCTCACAGGGGTCAGTGGCCAGCAGAAGCTCTGGCCCAAGTTCTATCCCATGATCCCAGGCCCAGGTGCCACTGTGTCCCAAAGGCACCAGATTCTGCCTCAAATGAGCCTTCCTTGAGCACACTACTCTGGCCTAGGCGAGGTGGGTGACACCAAGACCCAGGCCAGAGCCAGGGGCTAGAATCAACCTCAGCAACTTTGTGGGGAGAATTTCCCAGTGGGAAATCAAAGCATTGTTGCCAAAAGAAGTTACACCTTGGGGAGGAAACAGGCTGGGGTTCTGCAGAAGGGGCAGAGGCTTTGGGGTCCCATGCAGCTTCATCCACAAGGTCCTGGGAAGCCATTGTCTCCTCTCACCAGCACCCCGTCCTGTCTCCCAGTAATTCTCTCCCAAAGCCAGCAGGGAACAGTGTGATTAAGCCTCCATTATTAACTTGCCAATCTTATTTCTGGGGCACAGACGCTAACGGCTTAGGGGACCCACTTGGCATATAACGAGGTCTCCATGACAAATTACTTGGGTATCAATTAACTATCTGGGGAAATGTCAGGCAGGATCCGGCATGCTGGCCGGGAGAGAGAGCCAATTAACCTGAAGTGGTCGGCTTGATCCAGATTCAGCCTCCAGCAGAGCCGGGAATGAGGAAAGGGAAAGGGCCTGTGGAGCCAAGAGCAAGGCCGGACCTCCATCCCAAGAGCGGCTGCTCACTTCCTTTGCCGTGAGCCTCAGCACCCCTTCTTGGCCCTGCAGCTCTGTCTGTTTGTTCTCTCCAGTCACCTGCCTGAATGGGGGCCCCAAGAGGGACTGGGACCATGCCACGGGACAGGTGTGTAGGCAGGTGTCTGTGTCCTGGTGTGAGCGGCTCTACGGCAGCCAGGGGGTAGCAGCGCCTTTGGCCAGTGGGGAGGGCAGGCAAGAACAATCAGAGCCCGGAGATGAGGGAGCAGCCAGCCACTGCTTGGCCCAGAGACAACACCCTGTGAGGGGCATGGAACCGCGGGTGGCACCCTGCAGGCCACAGAGCACCCAGCTCTGCACTGGTGAGCTGTAAGACTGCTGGACAATCTGAAAGCCTGTCATCTAGAAAACAGGACATGAAGCCCAGGTTCCTAGGGACACTGTGAGAATGAATGGTAGCCTGTGGCAGTTGCTGCTGCCCCTCCACTCACCGGAAGTGTGGGTGTGGCCCCTACTCCCTAGTGAAGGCAGAGTTCAGAGGTGAACAGGCGTCCTGGAGAGGCTTAGGCTGATCAGCTGGCACTTGGGGGGCAGCGACAGAGGACAGGCTCTGACCTCTCCAGGCCGCGGACACCAAAGCCTGTTTGGGTTTTGTTTTGCTTTTGGAAAAGGCCCCTTGGATGCCTGGGATGTATGTCACCCTGGTGACCATACCCTGGCCCACCCTCCCCAATGGCTTTGCTCATGGGACACCCCCCCCCAGTGCGGTAGATGCCCCACCCTGATCGACTCAGCCAGTGAGTGGCAGCTGCCGAATGCCTATTCATGACACTGACATATGGCACCTCCGTGGGGGGTCGGAGGGAGCTGCCAATCCACAGTGCAGAATGTCCCCATTCGAGCCCTGCCGCAGCAAAACAAAGGCAAGATGCACGGGGAGCAGAGGCGGGCTGGGGGGCGTGAGCTCACGCACACTCACACACGCTCACCCTGCAGAGCACTGGGAGGAGGGATGGACTGAGGAGGCTGTGGGGCTTGGAGCCGCTCTGGGCTCTCACAGGCTTCTCAGGCCGTCCACCCCCCGCCCAGACTTCAACTGGCTCAGAGACCATCCCACCGTCTCCCACCTCCTCACACTGAATGCTGGGCCAGAGGCCTAGGAGGAGGGCCCAGGAGGCCCCAGCACCTCCCCCCCTGCCCCCCACCCCCGTGGGTCCTTGTGATGTTCTAATTCTCTCTGCAATCAGGACATTGTCTAATGTCAAACCATGTCCCCGGGGCTCTAGGCTCATTGAGTAGGCTCCATGTTGGGGTGGGGGCACTTCAGCCCACCAGTGCTTTTCCCCAGGCTGTCCAGGGACCCACAGCCACCTGCTCCTGGGGCTGGGGAGGGCAGAGCGCAGAAAAGGCCTAGCTTGGAAGGCCCCACCTCCTGAGCCAGGGCTGAAGGCGGCTGCTGTGGAAATCAGGTCTCTTCAACAGCTGACCACATGCATCCTGGAAGTGGCTCGTGGCTCAGGAGCGGCCACCTGCCCCCCCCGGTGTGGTCAGACGAGTGGGAGATGAACAAGGGCTGAGGAGCGTGGCCAGAACATGACAGGCCATGTGCTCAGCCTGCTGAGGGGGTGCTGCCCGGGGGAGACCCCTCTGCCAGCCTCAGCCTACTCTCTGCAGCAGTGGCGCTGCAGGCTTCTTGGGCAGAAGTGTTGCTTGGCTGGGGGAAACCCCCACAAGGCGGGCCTGCCCCAGGGCATCAGGGAGCTGCACAGTCCCGAAGCCAGAGGGGTAGCTTGCTGGAGAAGAGCCCCCCACTGACTCCTCCACCCCAGCGGAGTAGAAAAGGATGCTGCACTGATTCCAGCCCTGCCGTAACCCTTGCCCCTAGCTCTGGTGGGCCTCTGGGTGACCTGACCCATCTGACCTCACCTGGATATGGCGCCCCCGCCTGGCCGAGTGTTCTGGGAGCGGCAGCCCCAGCCAGGGCAGGGCTCACATCGGCTGCAGGCGTTGGACCGGCCATGTTTCAGGCAGCGCTGTGCATCGAGGCATCTGCTGCTCTGTCTCGGGGCAGATGGCTGCCAGTGAGCTAAGTGTGTGCGGGGGAAGGGGTGCCATAGGAACCCCTTCCTGCGGGGAGTGCGTGGGCGGGAGAGGCAGGCACCCGAAGGGGGTGGGGACTGCACAGGGGGTGGGATCACGTGGCTCTGGGGTTGGGGTGAGGCCCAAGGAACCAGTTCCTGAGGCTCGGGGGGCCTGGGTCATCTTAGAGGAGACGCAGCTTCTGGAGGCACAGATCAGGCCTGGCGTGCCTGGCACAGCTGGCCAGATGGCCTTGGGTGAGTCCCTTCTCTCCCAGGTCCCCAGGACCTGAAGGAGAGTTTGGACATCTTCAGGTGCCTTCCAGCTCCTAAATCCTCGCTTTGCAGGCTGGGGGCATCGTCCGCATACAGGCACCTGCCATCTGCAGGGGCCTCCTGCCAGGGGGTTGGTGCGGATCAGCAGCACACCCTGCTGGACCCATCCAGGGCACACAATGCCTCCACCCCTAGCTCTGAAGCTGCAGCTCCTGGAGAGGCTGGAGTTATGCTGCTGTTAGCTAAGTTCACTCTGCAGAGCAGGATTCCTTGCCAACTTTCCCCAGTTTCCTGGAGGACAGCAGAACGGGGAGGGTGGTGGGTTACCAGGCCACCAGGCCAGGCTGTGGGGAGGAAGCTGGCCGAGGTAGGAGACCTTGTCCTGCCCTGTCTGTCCCCAAAGCCCAGCCCATTGGATCCAGAACCTCTCGGGGACACACGGAAGAGGTACAGAAAATCAAGGAAACAGCCCAGGGGTCCAACAGCCTCAGAGGTCCACTGCTGGACGTGGGAATCCGCAGGGACATGCTCTGTCATTGTGGAGTGCAGGGGGCTGCTGGGTGCACACAGCCCTCACCCCACTCAACAGAAGGGAGACTGCACTGCCCTGCATGCTCCCTGGTCAGCTCCGGGCCTACCTGCAGTGCGGC